GAGAGAGGGAGTGTGGGAGAGAGGGAAAGAGGGAAAGAGGGAGAGAGGGAGAGAGGCAGGTATCACAAGAATTAGCATGTGTTAGCATGTATTAGCATGTGTTAGACGTAGGTGCGAAAAAGTGTAGCTTTACGCACTAATAACACAATATATTATTATGCCACTCATGCCTGAAACCCGCTGGATTACACACTCGACGCTTCGCGTCTCGTGTCTAATTCAGCTGGTTTCAGGCTTCGTGACATAGAATTTTGTTCAGTACTTGTTGGGAAATTTCGTCCTTAACGTGTGTGGTTACATCACTCGCCTTCGGCTCATGCTGTAAACCCCACACACGTTAAAGACGATATTGCCCCACACGTGCTGAAATATACTATTTCGACACGACATGAACGTAGCAGCAGTGTCAAAATAGTACATTTCGTAACGAGCTAAAAAACATTTTTTCACGAGTTACGAACAATATTTTTCATCACAATGTGGCGGAAATTGGACTTTCAGGCACGCGGAGCGTGCCGAAAAGTTCACTTTTCGTCACAGCGTGATGAAAATACTCTTGACTTGGTTTTTAATGATGATAACAGTTCCATTCCACTACAATGATCATTTGTTCTATGGTAAACAGATAAATGCGTTCGGAATGACAAAAAGTTCATTACTGCAACGAAACATTGTGCAATTTTCCCATATATGAATATATTCAAGTTATTACTGGATCTTATTTGTTCGATAAGTGGTACTAGTATTTGATGACTCTTATTCGTTCCAAGAGTAGACCTTTCACCCTAATTGAGAAAAATATACTCTCTAAAAGATAACGGGAGATGAGTTAATTTCACTTGATAATCATCCAATAAAATTTGCTATAAAATGACATATGCCCGGCGAAACTAGCAAAAAAACTCGAGGGGAATGAAGAATCCGGAAATAGCCCAAATCACGTGATAAGGATTCTTCGTCAATCCATTCACTTTTTTCAAGGTATCAAAACATTCTGAAAAATGCGTATTTTATATTTGTTAGGAGTACTCTCTTTGATTGAAATTTCTGGAGTATCTGTGGCGGAGAAAAGTGTATTCGAATAAAATTCAGAAAAATATTTTCTATCTCGATTAGTGGATTTTCACGAAGAAACTAAATTATCGAACAAAAAATTTATGTTGCGAACTAAACGTTTCAATCAATTGTTTCATTTTAACCAATTGAATGCAGAAGATTTACAAAGGTGAATCTTTCCAAAAGCTTCCTTTTGACGGATTGGGATACTTTTTTTCTTGAAAATTTATAAGGTAATATGATAATCTAAATCGAAGCTGCAAAAAAAATGACCGCGAATTTTGCAATATCTCATCAATGCTACCATTTCGACGCAATTACTGATAGTAGCGATGATTACGGCAATTTTTTTTTCAGATTTTGCTCAATTGTATCAACGAAAAAGTTGGACAAATATATTCGACTTTGATTCGTTTGCATTAGAACGGTTGAGGTAAAAATTTTTAATAATCGAATAACATCTCAAAGTAATATTGAGGATTGTGGCGCAATGTTAGCCCTGATAAAAAATTGACAGCACCACGAGCATAATTTTTTTTCTTGGAGCATTATGAGCATTTCACTCACTTTTATTAACACTCCGTTGGTCGCGCTATGAGCTTCACTCTGCACTTTTTCCGATTGTTTGAATTACACTGCAGTAAAGCCACAGAAGAATTTGAAAGAATTTCACATCTCATTTTCAAGTGTCTAGAAGCCCTATCAATGAAAATATCCACCAAAACTGTCATAAATTACCATAACTTCCTCCCTTCGGGTCGGGAAGTTAATAACTAGATTTTCAAATTTTTATCCCGAAACTCTGAGCCGTGTGCCGTGTATATGGCGAATTTTTAGAAAAACATGGCAACTTTGAGCTTGAATATATAATTAAGGGTAACATTGAATATAAAAAAATCTCATGCGACTTCATTAATTATACGATCTAGACACCCAAAAAAAAGGCGGACTGAATCAGACCGAAAAATCGGTCTGAATCATGCCGGGAATCGACTTGTTTCATGTCGAATTGATGACATGAATCAAGTCGGACTCGGACAGATACAAACCAGAATATCGGTCTGATTCAAGTCGATTTTTCGACTTAATTCAGACCAACTTCGGTTTGATTCAGGCCGATTTTTCGGCTTGATTAAAACCGATGTCGGCTGGACGCGTTTCTACTTGAAATAAACCACTTTTCGACTTATATCAGACCCAGAATTCGGATTGGCCTAGTCCGAGTCACTCGGTCTGAATCAAGCCGAAAATCGGTTAGAATCAAACCGGCGTCGACTTGAATCAGTACTTTTTTTTGGGTGGATCACTCTTGATTTTCTTCAGATTTTTTCTAGTTTTTTAAATTTATCATAGTCGATTTATGCTAGTGCGACGTGGCGCTTACGGCGCGACCAACGGCGTTCGTAACTTTTGCGCGACTAATGAAGTGTTAAGAATTTTCGATCTGGACCATCTTATCTTCTTAATCTTTTTCGAGGAAAAACAACTGCTCAATTACGTAAAAATAATTTATTCATGGCAATTTCAAAGTTGCTCCGAAACTCCGCACTTAATTTTTTTTTTACAAAACAATTGTAAAAGATGAATTTAAAACCCAACTTTTTTGTTCGATTTTTTTCTTGTCAAACTATTCTTGCCAAAGTATTGTTCTCTGAATTCTATTCAAATCTACTTATCTTTGGCACCGATACCCTAAAAAATCTGGAAGAATCCAGAGGGAGTATTGATAATGAATAAAAGAGCATAGAATCATTTTTGAATTTTTCGAGACCTTGAAATGAATAGATGGCCGAATCGAGGAGGAATCATTTATTTTAACACGAGATTGATGCGTGGTCTTTTTCCACCTATCAATCAGTGCATTCTAGATCATTCGGATCTATATTATAAACTGACAATCCAAACGTTCTTTTGCCCAATGTTGAATTGAAATTTGTCTTTCCAATTCAATTTTTAGTAATAAATTATAGTTTGTCTCATCACTTTGATATCTTTAGCAATTTTGATCCAATCGTTCATTGTCATATTGCTCGAGTCCAATAGCGGCGAGTACTCTCTTATGTCGTAAATAACTCGTCGACTGTCTGTGGCTGTCATTCTGCAATCAATTGAGATGGCAGTGTTAATTTTCAGTTCAGAATAATAAGCTCCATTATCATGCTTGTGGATTTCAACGACGTCATTGAAGTTATTGATAGCTCCATACATGCAGAGTAGTGAGCGACTTACGGCAATGCTAATAATCCTGAACTCCCAAATCTCTTGGTGGCATGTTCACGATCGTACATATGGGGATATTGCTTCACTGCTTTAACGAATTGGTTTGGAACTGGTGCCAATGCTAGGAATGAATGAGAATTTGAATATTCAGTCTTTCAAATAAAAAAATCCCTCAATATCTTAGCTATTAAGTTTTTCCAAAATTGCGTGATTATTTCAGCAATAAGCATTTTAAAAGAATCAAAAAATCTTTTTTGAAGAAAAAATTCGCATATTTAGCGCATGTTTAGAGTCACGGTCAGAGTCAGGGTCAGAATATAAAAGTAAAGAAAGTAGGTGTTAGACAATGAGGATCTAACTATAAGTCATATATTATGCTTGATTACCGTCTTTAGCCCTTATATGACCTTCATTGTCTGACACCCACATTTTTTAGTTTTATATTCTGACCCTCTTTTTTTAACTTCATTTCAAGTATATTTTTTTCCGTGGCCAGCGAGATAATTGAGCGGTTAATGATCAAGAGGAGTTAAGTCAAATGCAAAGTTTTTATCAAATATATATGAGGTATTCCACGCCAAATGAGTCAACCGTTGACCCTCACCCTCTTGAAAATTGATGGCGATTTTTTCTACGATTCGGAGGGTTGAGAAACTATCTTTCAAATTTTTTCAGATTTTTTCGCCAGCCCAGTTTGGAGATATGATTTTTTTCTCGTTTTTCCGTTTTCTTCAAATAATTCCATCCATCCGATTTTTATTTATTAAGCGTCAAAATTTATCATTTTTTACTGCATATAAGAATATTTTTAGTAAACATTTTGTTTCGATCTTCAGATGCTCATAATAACGAATTTTCGAAAAAAACAGTTGAAAAAGTTGAATTTTGCAAATGATGTCACTTTTGATTTGTTTAATTTTTTTCAGTAATTCTGATAATCAAAACAAGTATTTTGAGCCATCATACAAGTTGGGGATCGTCCTCGATCTATTTTATTTTCAAATTTTTCTCTTCGAAATTCCGCAAATTTGGTCAAAACACCCGAAAATGGCGTTGATTGACTTCGATTATAGACAGTATGAAGTGAATTTGACTGTATAGCTATATATTACATATTTTTTCGATACGTAATCAGAATCGTTTTGGGTGCTTTGACTATAAAATACTTGTATTGATTATAAGAATTACTGAAAAAAAATGAAACAAATCAAAAGTGACATAATTTGCAAAATTCAACTTTTTCAACTTTTTTTTTTGAAAATTCGTTATTGTGAGCATCTGAAGATCGAAAAAAAATTTGACGCTTAATAAATCAAAATCGGATGGATAGAACTCGAGTTATTGAAAAAAATCGGAAACACGAGAAAAAAATCATATCTCCAAACTGGGGTGGCAAAAAAATCTGAAAAAATTTGAGAGATCGTTTTTCAACCCCTCAATTGTAAAAAAAAATTGCCATTAATTTCCAAGAGGGTGAGGGTCAACGGTTGAATCATTTGGCCAGGAATACCTCATATTTATCTGCACAATTAGCACTTTCGTTGAAACATCTCAAGAAAGCTTTTTTCCAGAGGATGAAAAACCATTTTTTTTAGATTGTTTCTTCTAGCATCGTTTGTTTAATAATTGGCCATGGCGAGTAATTTATCACTGACTTAATGACAACGTATTTACCATCTGTAGCATTTCTGATCATTCCAATGGTTCCTCCTGTGTAGAGTACCAGAACCCTTCCCTCTGGCTTTCCGCGGTATGATAATTCAATGTCCGGGGATTTTGAACGCCCACTTTTCAGGGCCAAACCATTGATTTTTTCTCCTAATGTTCGTACGTACCCCTCAGGATTATTTCCAGCCATTTTCACGTCAAGTTCGCAGTTCTATAAAATGAACAACTCAGTGTTTATCCTTCGCAATTAGTTGAGGAGATTGCGCAATCAAGTAAAATAGAAAATTAAAATAGACGTTTTATGGATTGAGTAAATATTTACGTCACAATAAAATGTTCAATGTTGGAAATTTCTCAACAGTTTTCTGACTTATCACTTCCTGATTCTTCTGGAGAACATAATTCATTCACTTTCAATTAATACGCAACTACTTTCTCTTTGCAAGTACTAAGCATCTAGGCTCTATTACAAATGCTCTCCTGCACAGATAACAATAGTTACAGGAAAACCGTGTAAACATACACAAATAGAAAAATGTGAAATTACTTTTTTAGAAGATAACAAATAAGATAAACATTCAATAGCACAATGATGCCATCGTCACCAAATTATAATCATGATAAGAATTTCTAATACCTCATCAATAATTCATGAGACAGGAAGGTTCTCTTCGCAATACAGCGTCCCCGACAAATTCTCAGCGCAGACTGAACCTGAAACCGGAGTTCATTTTCAGGGAACACGCCGTATTCCGAGAATAAATATATCCTATCTTCGTGTATCGCATGAGAGTTGCGTGTTGACTAATACAAAACTATTCAGTCAGAATAGTAGCGCGATTGCGAACGAAGCGAAATAATAAAAAAAGGCAGAGTAAACAGACATTAATCAATATTTGCTTGTGATATTTTTTATTAAATATTTATTTATTGATATCGAGATACAGTGTCGTCTGACGAGTGGTGTTTGACCTTATGCACACTCCCCACGTGCCTCCCGAGGATATTTTATATACTGTTCATCTTCTTATCAGTTCTATTCGCTTGAATTTACGTATTACACAGGTGTTTCGCCTGCTATAATTGTAGGAATATTTTACGTTCTTGTATAATCATTTTCTTTCATTCACTAGAAAACGTAATATGTAGTGAAGTGCGGCGCAGGGGCGGGAGGGGGGGGGGATTAGATAATATTGATCATCGGAAGTAAGGAATGAGTCACTGCCGTACAAGTCCGTTTTCCCTGCCTCATAATGGAACAAGTGGGATGTTTTTTTTTTGTATAGTTTTCTTTGCTAATAAATTAGCAATATGCTTCCGAATGGATATGATTATCGGTTTCAATATTTCCTTCATGATTTTCTTAATGACAACTATTGTATGTTTCGGTTGCCTCCTAGTTTGAATTAAAATTGTAAATTCATTACAATTATAATTCTTAAAAATTATTTCTATACTTATTCTCATGATTTAATCCCTCATGAAACCCCAATTAAACAATAACTGAACCTCCATTAGACTTACATTGAGCCTTGCTCCACCGGGAGCTGGATGAAATAAGGAAAGTTGGACTTAACAGCGACTAAAACTGCGATGGAAATGGTAAAAATCAAACTCTTTCTCGTTTCCACTGCAGTTTTAGTCGATGTTTAGTCCACCTCTCCTCTCATCTAGCTCCCGGTGGAACTAAGCTCATGAATCTCAATTGAAGCTGAATTAACCCTCAACTAAACTCCAACTCAACCTTGACTTGACTCCAACTAAATTCTGTAGTAACCTTAACTCCAACTAAATCTTCATTAACCGGAACTAAACTCCAAATAAATTTCGACGAACTTCGACTTAACTTCGACTGAACCCCGACTAAAGCTGGACTAAACCCCAGCGAAACCATAACTCAACTCAGATTGAACCCAGATTGAACCCTGATTAAACCCTGACTAAACTCCGACTAGACCCCAACTAAACTCCGACTAGACCCCAACTAAACTCCCACTAGACTCCGATTAAACTCCAACTAATAATATACTGTTACGTGTCCCCCTTCGAACCCTTTTAATTATATCCAGTCTGAAGGATGTCATGGAACAGAACCAAAAGGACGATCATCTTGAAGTCAAGTCCGATGCTCTATTATTAATATTCTGAGATATCTTGGTCGATACACGTCTGTCTCTTGGCTTGTCTCTGATATTTAATAAACCGCCCCAACCATTTTATTAATTGTGTTGTGTGTCTTTCTCCGGATATAACAATACATACAAAACAAGGCTATAACTCAAGAGTGAATAATGCTATTGCCACCATCTTCAAACTCGGTCAACATACTATCAATGCGAATTTTTTGAGCCCTCATTGAATNAAAATTTCGAAAAATGTAAATATCTCAGAAACTATACGATCGATTGGATTCTGGGTGGGGTCAATCGAAAGCGCTTATCAAAGCCTACATTTAGAAAAAATTATGGAATTCCATCGATTGGTTATGGAGAAAAACGTAAAACAAAATGTCACACACATACATACATACGCACATACAGACACCTTCTAAAAATAGCATATTCAGACTCCTAAGACTAAACTTAGTCACCCTAGCACAAAAAATTGGAAACTTAAAATCGAACGATTACAATGCTTCCATTCGGAAGCAAAAAGACTATTTCATTTCACTTATAGTTATATCGCGCTGCTTATAATGCGGTATAGGATATCATTATATTCGAGCCTCGTCTTCGAGATTTTAATAACTTGTAGTAGTCCGCCTGCGGCTAGATGGAGCCACACGCCTTCAGAGACCATAGAAAAAGTTGGCTGTGGCACCTCGGCGTTGAGGGCTCGCCATCTTATCATTGTTTTCATGTGTGCGCGTGTGGAACGCACGCTTTTCAGAGTTTCCAGTTTGTTTTATTGTAATAATCTATTTTTCTCCGTTTTTACACAGTTTTTCCAAAGTCATGGATGATTGTAAGAAGAGGAAACACATAAATTGTGTGGAATATCTAGACATCTATAGTGAAATTGCAAATATTACATGCATTGACTTACCGACTTTTCCCTGGATAAATAATCGATTGGAAATAAAGGTAAGCGATGTTACATGTCTCTCAGCCTTTTTAGACGCTCGGGTCAGATCTTAGAGACAGAACCAATCGACGTCAAAGGCTTTTTTAGGCTTTTTTAGGCCGAGTTTATTCTTTGTCGAACAACTCAGCCTAACCTCATTTTACCTGGTTCTCCTGGTCCTAGAGACAAAATCGAGAACAAGGAAATTAAAAATGAAATTGTTATAAATATGTCAGATGGATCTTCATTCCTGACATCCAGGACAGTGCGAGCAGCAGCTCAGATCCTGTTGTGCTAGACACATCTGCGCCTGACGCATTCACCTTAGGCTCCAAGCCTTGTTCCACTATTTCACATAGTTGAATCTGCGCTTGACACATTGACCCAAGGTTCCAAGCCTTGTGCTACTATTTCAATAGTTAAATCTGCGCTTGACGCATTGATCCAAGGCTCCAAGCCTTGTTCTACTATTTCAATAGTTAAATCTGCGC